TGCACGCTCGGTTGTTATACCGAGGAGAAAAAAAGGTTAATCTAATAATAGTTATTTTTCGCCCCAATCAATTTTTGGCCCAATTTTTGGTTGTTCTAACATAAAAATAGTTAGTAGTAACATGCATATGAGGTTGATATTTAATTTAATTAAAAAAAAAAAAAATTATTTTCTTGACTATGATTTACAGAAATTATTTTTTTGTGTGATAATAGTTACAAATATCAAACTTTTTTTTCTCAGTATAGTGCTGCCAATATAATCCGGATGTTTCAAGATTACGAGTATCTTTAAAGTAAAGATTTCTTAGTGATATTTTTTCTTTACATACTACTGTGTCCAAAAAGTAAGACCAATTCTCAAGTTAAATTGCGCGGGTATATCGAATGTCAGAAATATTTTTTTTCTAAATTGGTAGCACTGTGACAGACATTTGTGTCAAATTATGCGTCGTTTGTGTGAAGCTATTCGCAAAAAGAAGCTGGAATTGTAGAAAGACAACTCTTGGTTTTTGCACCACGATAATGCACCATCTCACACTGCATTGGTTCTTCGAAACCATTTCGCTAAAAATTCGACCCATCGTTCCACAACCACCATATTCACCTGATTTAGCACCGTGTGATTTCTGGCTATTCCCTAAACTCAAAAGACCGCTCCGGGGACACCGTTTTGACTCGATTGAAGAGATACAAGCTGAATCGAAGAAAGGCTTTGAAGGCTATTCCGAAAATCGACTTTAACAACTGTTTCGAGGGTTGGAAAACACGTTAGCATAAGTGTATTGTGTCTGAGGATTATTTTGAAGGCGACGAAATAGATTTGGAATAATAAATAAAGATTTAAAAAAAAAATTTTAAATTGGTCTTACTTTTTGGACACAGTAGTATATATATTTTTCTCGCGACGAGTGTATTAGAGATAGTAAGGTATACGGTATTAAGATCTCTTATTCATTGGTAGTATTGGTAGCAAATATAGACATTTTCAAAATCTTTGACCTTCCAATATCTTCGACGTACTTTCAAGTAGCAAATTACAGAATAATTACAATGCCAGCATATCGTGTCGAAATTTCTAAAGAAAAGAAGATATACAAATCCCTTAGAGTGGAATCTTACTCAAAATAAGTGAAAAGTATTTTTCTATGAAAAACTGTGAGATTTCAGCTGAAATTATGCTACGATATAACTATTAAAATAAAATTCAAAGTTAGACGAGATTGGAATTTCTCCAATCTGTGGAGATCTAATCGAAAATGTACAAAGTACACACCCGTGTACTATCAAATACTACCACCTATAAGACTACCGTTTCGTTCTAGTCACGATTGGATAAAAAGACGAGATATCGATCGACGCAAATAGAAAACAAATAAGTCGAATGTATAAGGTATGTTTTCGAGTATTACATTGTTCGATATCAAGTGGTATCAATGAAAAAAGTCTAAGTAAAAGATTATATCATCTTAACTTGAAAAGATATTAGTGAGCTTATTCATCAGGTATGTTTTTTTCTGAGCGTCCATGGCACGCATTCAGGGCAGGCATTTTCAGTGATTTTTCAGTGGCGCAAGAAGGCTACTCATTCGCTACTCATCGAACAAAATTATATATTTTTATATATTTATTTCACTATCTAAAAAAAATGTTAATTTAAGACTAATTTCACATAATACTATCTTGCTACTTAGTACACAATGTTACTCACAGCATAAAACAGTAGTTTTCTGACCTACAATTAACAATTACACAAAAACGATGTAGTGAATATTATTCGTTCCTCTATGCCGTGTTTCCTAATATATAACATTTGTAACGATAAGCTTTTTATTTGGATGGTATTATATTTTTACAAAGTTACACTGGAATAATGTGGTCGTTTATATTGTTTCTACCATAAAGTTATATGTGCAAAATTGCGATATTCAGTATTAAATTTCTCATGAATGGTACAGACAAATCGTATGAAACATTAACTACGAATGTGTTTTACTGTAATCTATGTTCAGTTAAAGTTTTGTAATTTTAAATATTTTGGTTTAAGTGGACAAATTCTTGAGAGAGAGAAAGAGAGAGGCCTCACATACGATTAAAATAAAAATAATGAACAAGAATAGAGTTAAATATTCGAAGGTTTAAATGGCGATGGCTTAAGAGAATGAGAGAGAGAGAGAGAGAGAGAGAGAGAGAGAGAGAGAGAAAGAGAGAGAGAAAGAGAGAGAGAGAATCCGACGTCACTTTTTCAAATATCACTCGTTTAAAAATAATAGAGGTCAACGACCGTAACGCTAACCGGTTTAAAAATGAAGTAGCGCGTCTCGCCTGTATCGGAAGTGGAAGAGAAGAATGCGTGAACGGTGCGCGTCAGTCGTATCGAGTTCGCGTGAGAGAACCTAAAATGCGACCGATAGTCGCCATCGTAGAAATTTCTTAAAGATTTTTCCTTCTAGCGCAAGATCAGTGGAGCGCGCATGCATCGAGTCGAATCAAAAAGACTTTGGTCGATTATCAATCTTTCGATTACCGATTTCGCGAGTACAAAATTCAACTGGTAGCAAAGACAAAAATAATGTCAATATTTTCCAACATTGAATTTCGTATTGCGTATCTTCTACCATTATCATCAGCAACATTTTCTTTTTACTCTTTATGTCGCGATTTGTCCGCACTTTTATGCCGTCAAACATGAGCACGTGGTCGATCTTTTCGACGATTACTAGGGGATTCACTCACGCGGATTTCGCCTCTGATGCTAACGACATCTCGAAGCAATAGTCGGACTTACAGTATAATCCAGATATAACCACGTGGTTTTGACGTACAGCCGATGCACGAATACGCCTACGCTATCGCGAGCAACCGACGGATTGACGTAATCGTTTTGGAAAGGGCATGATTTTCGGTGGCAATCGACGAGATCATTCGTGAACAAAGCACATTTGAAGATTCGTCCGTGGGTGAATTTGTCGAATCTGTTGGTTGACGTCGCGAAACATGTCAATCAGAGTTACCAGGCCTGTCATAATCCCACTAACATTACTTTTTACAATAAAAATGTGATTACATATTACACATATATGATTGTGATTAAATTTCAATTATATTCTAATACGACCATACAAAATGTTTAAATATTTCTATGAATATCGCAAAAGACTGATGCTACAAGTATATATGTGGACACAATTAAATATATTCTGTTTCTCAATCTTAAAAAATTTGTACATTCCCGTTTGTTCAACGTATTTAATTTGTAGATATTATCAAAATTTTCGAATTAATAATTTTCAAGTTTCACGTTCAAATTTCTCAAATGTGGCTTTACATGGTACATTATATTCTTATAATGTATCTTTAAAATGACGCTACGGTTTCAAATAGTTCAGGTAGTCGGTGTCAAGACAAAGCGTGTTCATTTCTGATCAGTCTACAGTAGACCTGATAGATCTACAGTAGGTTCTGGAACTTTTAACGACAGTATCATTATCCTTACGTTGCCTTTGCGCAGGTATACTACATGAAACAAAATGGTGAAAATATCTTGTAACATATAAAAATAATATCGACTTCTTGAAACATAGTAGTTGCCTACTTTTTCAGATAGCACGCATCGTTTTCGAAACGTTTTATAAACGACTATAAAACATTATATACTCCTAAAAAACATGTGAAACTAATATGCTAGGATAATATAATGTATCTTATAATGTATCTTTAAAATGACGCTACGATTTCAAATAATTCAGGTAGTCGGTGTCAAGACAAAGCGTGTTCATTTCTGATCAGTCTACAGTAGGCCTGATAGATCTACAGTAGGTTCTAGAACTTTTAACGACAGTATCATTATCCTTACGTTGTCTTTGCGCGGGTATACTACATGAAACAAAATGATGAAAATATCTTGTAACATATAAAAATAATATCGACTTCTTGAAACATAGTAGTTGCCTACTTTTTCAGATAGCACGCATCGTTTTCGAAACGTTTTATAAACGACTATAAAATATTATATACGCCTAAAAAACATGTGAAACTAATATGCTAGGATAATATAATGTATCTTATAATGTATCTTTAAAATGACGCTACGATTTCAAATAATTCAGATAGTCGGTGTCAAGACAAAGCGTGTCATTTCTGATCAGTCTACAGTAGGCCTGATAGATCTACAGTAGGTTCTAGAACTTTTAACGACAGTATCATTATCCTTACGTTGTCTTTGCGCGGGTATACTACATGAAACAAAATGATGAAAATATCTTGTAACATATAAAAATAATATCGACTTCTTGAAACATAGTAGTTGCCTACTTTTTCAGATAACACGCATCGTTTTTGAAACGTTTTATAAACGACTATAAAACATTATATACGCTTAAAAAACATGTGAAACTAATATGCTAGGATTGTTCTTAGTCAACAAGAATTATACTTGTTCGTTCTCTACTCGATCCGTATTAGCATCATTCCGATATTTTGAAACTGCTTGAACTGGATGGACAAAGGAGATAATACTTTCTTTATGTATATTTTCATTGACGCGCTATATGGCCGTAACTCGTGCAACGATTATCCTTTAATCGAACATTGTCGAGCATCGTCGGGTATCTCGTAATTAGCGTCTCGTCGTGATATAATACGCGTGCGCTGGCCATTCATAAAAATGTAACGCCGCCACGTGTAGTCTTCCGCCGAGCGATTGTGTGTCGTCGTCATATAACGCATACGTGCGACATATCTATATGTCATATACATGTCAATTGTATTACATGTCAATTGTATTACCGCCGCGAACAGAGAGACCGTGATTTATTATTATTTTCACTCTAAATATTATTACGTTCCATTTACCGAGAATATAGAAGACGCCAACCGCGCCACGTGTCACTTTCTCGTTCCATAATTTCTATGTGATAATTCGCGGAATAATGCAAATATATTATCGCGGCGTGAAATATTTTAACAGCAAAAATTGAAATTTTATTAATATCTTCATACCTGCTTTGCGTTTGCTAGCTCTTGTTCTGCCCATGAGTGTTACTATGAATACACCTGGTAAAACACTGCTTCTGACGATGCCTCCAGGAATATCAGTTTCCTTCGAGAGTTTGAAAGTGAATGAACAAGTGATGGCTGCGTTGTCACATTTCTGATTCTTGTAGAATTCTTCCTTTATTTTACTGCTGCACCCTCTACTGTTGCACCCTCTATCTTACTGTAGACGAATAACCTTGCCAGTCTAGTTCCCCTTCCGAAAGTCCTACTTTTCCTTTCTCTTTTTAACTGCACTGCTGAACCAAGTTAGAATAAAGTTAGAATGAGACAAGTATATATTTTTTCTCACTCTAAGATTAACCATAAAATTCTTTCTCAGTCTCTCCAGTGTTGTATGTATGCATACACTACCTTCTTGCCTGTGACGTGGTAACTTTTTTTCTCTCTCTCTCTTTCTTTCTTTAAAATTTTTTTCTTTCGAAAATAAACTTCTGGTGCTAAACCGTATCGCATGCGCATGGTTAAAATAATGTATCGCCTGACAAAACTCTTTCTTCTAAGGGACAAAACTCTTTCTTCTAATAACGGATGCGTAGCGCGGCTGTGCTGTCAGTGGTTCGCATTTTCATCGACTCGCCATTAGTCCGCTTGTCATTTCAACGAATCACGTGGAATTTTTTCACCATCGGCTCTTTCGAAGAAAATGTACAAGCGCGATACCGTAGAAGAGCCCTTTTCACCCTACGTTCCGCTCTACTAATATAGTAGCTTTAATAATCTCCACAATCCTTTTCCGCCTCCTCGAATTTGATCCTTTTTCTCAAAGCTTGCGATAATCGTATTGCTTGTGATACGTCATCAAGTTCGTGACAGCAATGTCGATGATATACATGAACGCGATGCAGCCAATCGTCGCGCGACGGTGCTGTTTCGCAGATGACCGCGACGGTGGTGTGCACGACGTCGACGACGTCGACGGCGACAGCGACGGCGACGTAGTAACCCGGGCTTCCCACCTCCAGCGCGGCTGCATTTGGGGATGACGGGTTTTTTACTGTTCTCGTGCGATTCTCTCGACACCGTCTTTCTGTCGCTTCTTCACTCTTTCTCCTTCTCTCACTATCAGATACGCTACTCTTCCTCGCGTACACAGCGCATTTCGCGTTGTCGACCGATATTATATTTTGTTATTAATTAATAATAATAATGACAATCCGACCGAATAATTTCGCCGTCGTCGATATACTCTCGAGTCCGCGATGTCTAAAATAGAGAAAGAGGGGGGAGGGGGGGGAGAGAGAGAGAGAGAGAGAGAGAGAATGCGTGTGTGTATGTGCGTTGAAGACAACAATAGGTGTGTAGAGGTACAAAGTGTCGTGTTGGCGTCCGCGCGGCGCCCGCGACCTTTAACCCTTTCTCTTGCGACGCGATGCGCGGAGCTCCCGTGCGTCACGGATCGCGCGGTAACGCGACTAAAGAAGCCACCGCGAGATCCGCTTGACAATCCGTCGCGCGCGCGGTCCAGGTTTCCCACCCGCCGGCCAACAGCCGGTCGGGGATCCTTCCCCCGCCGATCGACATGACGAGGACGCGCGAGACGCATATGTATGTACATATGCACGCACACCGTCTGATCGTTCAACAGTCGTCTCTACATTCGCATGTAACGGTAGTATACGCAGCAGTATCCCCGCGGAGCGAGCGTCGCGCGACTGTGGCGGGAAAATCGCGCGGTGACAGCTGTCGACAAAAAGATGAATATGATGATGATGATGATGATGATGGTGTCTCCACCTCGTTTTTCTTTAGCTTGTCGCTCTCCTTTCGACTTTATGAATGTCTGTGCTTTGTGCCTCTTTTTGTCATTAATTTCATAATCTCTCTCTCTCTCTCTCTCTCTCTCTCTCTCTCTCTTGGCAGAATTGGGAAAGTTATAATAAAACTACTCGTAGGACCGGTATTACCCATCGAGAAAAGTTAGCGTTATCCAATAAGTACAAAAAAAATATATCGTTACAATTTTTATTAATCTATTATCAAGTTTTAAGCAACTTTTTTATCATTCATTATCGCCCGTCTTCCATGTACAATATGTGCATTCCAGATGTGCAAAGGACGATAAAAATTATATTCGTTATCAAAAAGATATAATTGTGTTACTGTTATTAACGAAAAAAAACTTTGTTACCAAATCGTTGCAGAAGAGTAACTTGTATAACGGACAAGTAATTTGTCTGCTCAGTTGATTATTCGCGTACACCAGTATTCGGATCGCGCGTTTAGTGCCCGTCTCATTCCTGTCGCGTCGTGTTTACATCGTTCCACGAGATTCGTGTTGCAGACGAGCAAAATTCAGTGCCGCCGAGCCGACACGTTAGTTACATCGTAGCCATTCTAACGTTTCCTCGGTACTTCGCGAAAGTTCATTCCTATCCTGAGTAGCTTAAGGATGCTTATAGATAATGCTGTAAAATTATATATACAACAATAAAAATGATACAATACGTTTTCACAGATACTGTATTATTTTTCGTAGCGTCAATAAGGAAAGGGAAAATTGTGATAAAAAGGAAAAATTGTAAGAAAAATTTTCACAGGAATTGATGGAATTTTCTCTTTCAATTTATTCAGTCTTTGCGTGTATCAACAAAAATATTATCTTAGAATAATACAACAAAGAAATTTTTTGCTTTATGACTATCTCTTTCTGAATCCCCTCCTAATTTCTTCTAACAATAGATAAAAAGGAAAAATTGTAAAAGAATTTTCCCAGGAATTGATGGAACTTTCTCTTTCAATTTATTCAGTCTTTGCGTATCAACAAAACTATTATCTTAGAATAATACAACAAAGAAATTTTTTGCTTTATGACTATCTCTTTCTGAATCCCCTCCTAATTTCTTCTAACAATAGATAAAAAGGAAAAATTGTAAAAGAAATTTTTCTAGGAATTGATGGAACTTTCTCTTTCAATTTATTTAGTCTTTGCGTATCAACAAAACTATTATCTTAGAATAATACAACAAAGAAATTTTTTGCTTTATGACTATCTCTTTCTGGGTCCCCTCCTAATTTTTTCTAACAATAGATTGCATAGAGACCTTCGGTATCTTTTTTCCCTCATACGTCATATTTCAAACACTTTTTGTTCGAGTCAATATTTTTTTAATCCATTTATCTCTTCTTTTTCTTCATGTGTCTTTTTCTTATTCCTGTCTTTTTATTATAATTATTTGCTAGTAAGAATAGTAACGAAATATGCATGAAAAATTGTTAATTGATATCGCCTGATGAAAAGATGTATTTTACTTTTGTTTGAGCAAAGAACGAAAAGGAAAGAAATAATTTGTCCATTATCGGATTCCAGGGAGAAATCAATTGGGAAGGGATAAATCTTTTTTCTTTATCTGTCGCTAACGACGGCGGCGTGTTTGACGCGGTGTTTGAAAAATGACATGCCGTAGAGTAAAAAAAGAAAACAATGAGATAACTTCTCTTAGAGGGGAAGATGAGGACGACGTCGACGAGGAGTTCCAAGACATACAGAAATTACGAGTCGTTCTACTTAGAGCGCGTCCAGTTTCGGCGCACCATTACGTGCGCGAATGACATGTGTTACGAGCGTGCGTACGCATCCGTCGACAATTGCACTACACGGCGCGAAAATAGAACTATGCTCGTCTCGCGTGTCCATGCGCCTTCTTCCGCGGTTGTCAAATGGCGGCGCGATTTCTCGCGACTCAAGCAAACCGGTCGTATCTTGTCGATACACCTTAATATGCGTTTTCCGTGTTAACAGGAAAGTCAACCTAATGATGATTGCGCAAGATGTCACGACGATTTCGAGACATTTCGAAAGAAGACGTTTTTCTCTCTTTGCGTCTTTATTCTTACTCTCTCTCTCTCTCTCTCTCTCTCTCTCTCTCTCTCTCTCTCTCTCTCTCTCTCTTCTGGTTTTTATTAATTATCTGCCGATATTAGCGGTAGTCGCAATGTCGAGAAACATCTGAAATGTATGTAATACTCACTGCTGGAAAATCACATCGCTGGAATCGTGAGACGATTCGTTATTGATATACGATAAAAAAACACTGTGTTGATATCGATCTGTAATTTTTGTCATTTTGTGATAACTTTTTAATATAGCCGTATGTCAATTTAATAAATTGCCGTTGTAAATTCATCATTTTGTTAAAATAGCACAATTTACATACAAATGCATGATTTCCTGCTGACATATTTTATATGTAAAGTGTACAGATTATTTGTCTTACATATTTGCCTTGTGTTAAATCAACATAAAAATCAGAGTGGATTGGGACATGTAAAGTGTATAAGATTCAACACAAAATTTTTTGCGATGTATTTCATTACAATAAGTTACTGAGTACACAGAGACAGAGAGACCCTAAGCTTTGAACTTCGATATCGTATAGATATTTAAGATTGACAGAATATAAATGAAAATCCTCCTCCATAAAGGTTGTGTTGAAAACGGCGGAGAAGAGTGGATGTAATCGGGTAAGTAAACGCAATACGCGAACAGCAACCAACGGTGTCACTCACGATGAAGTAAGTTTTCTGGTTGAATGCACGATACGTCTTATCTACGGTACTACCAGCATTAACAGATAACTCGACTTCAAGATTTTAGATTCTCGTGCATCGTCACCGCGGTAACGCACGCAACTGTTATGTGAGATTTCTCTCTTTGTATCATATCGTATCGTCATTCGCCAATTCGGTCAAACAGTCCCGGGTTTTTACGAAATCCGTGCGCGATATCGCAATCATAACAAATCGTATAATTGGCTCTTTTTCTCTTGATACAATAATTGTAACTGCGATACCTCTCAAGGGCTCAATACGCTATTCACGAGACAAGCGTTGCCGACGACGTCGCTTTTATTATTAATTTATTATCAATGATTAGTGTGCGATAATCAGATGAAATTTTCGTTAGAGTCGAATTTAACCAATGTCCGATGACGTCAATTGTAATGATCATTCTAACGGTGTGCACGAATTTAATCGCCGTCTTGTAATTTGACACATTGATAAAATCGCTCGTTCGCATTTTGTGATGCCTCACTTCTAAACGGGCAGTGTATAATGAGAATAAAGATGTGACGAATAATGACGTTGTGAGGAGTTTGTGATAATTAGTGTTCCGTGTGCGAATCTACCGGCGATCTGTTACAATTTACGTCGACCGTTACAAATTTGTTGACAGGCTGATCAGACGTTAGATAACATGTAGACTTTTTCGAAGTAGTACTCTTTTATCTTATCGTCGTGATGCCTATATCAACATCGTATATTCATTTTAATTTAGTATCGCCGACATGAGCGACATACGTGCGTTTCGATACAGCATTTCGAAATACGCGGTGAATATTTTATCTATTGTCGACGAGCGGGAGATAAACAAGGATACGACCGCACGTTTCTAAAGGATAGTCCATGAAAGTAAAGTATGGGGCTGTAAGAAGTAAGAGAAAGAAATTAACCAATCACAATCGAATATGAGAAGAATAATCGACTGTGATTGGTCAATTTCTTACTCTTACTTCTTACAGCTATACTTTGCTTCCATTGTAGACGATACTTGATATAAAATCTTCCAAGAGTTGATGCAACAGGAACTTCTTCATACCTACATCCTATTTTGTAGTAACATTTTGTGATGAAAAGGCCGAGTCAGGCCTGCAACCAAGGAGAAAGAGAGAGAGAAAGAAAGAGAGAGAGAGAGAGAGAGAGAGAGAGAGAGAGAGAGAGAGACCCAACAAGAATATTAAATAGGGTATTCATTAGTGTCTTGCATTAACGGAAAATCCTTTTCATTTTTCATTCAGAAACGCATAATATGATGCGAATAAAGCGTATCAAGAAAGAAAGAAAAAAGATTCTGCGTGAATTAGGTTTTGATTTTAGTATTTGATTTTGGATATCGCCATAACGTGCACGAAAAAAAGAAATGGATTTCTCTGTCATAGCTAATCGTGCTGAAAATATATCTGTTGCTGTAATTAAAACTATTCACTGTTGTAATAAAAATTCTCTCTCTCTCTCTCTCTCTCTCTCTCTCTCTCTCTCTCTCTATTTAGTTACTACTGCTGTCACATTGATTTCATAGCTAAATACATACCTACTTGCAGCTACAGTTTTAGGTATTTATTAGGTTACAACGAGACTGTTACCGTTGCAGCTCTTTTTTACGCGTAGGGTAAGAATTGTCCTACATCTCCGTGATATCTTCCACAGAAGTGCGAGATGGGATATAAAAACTAGACCACTCGATAATTCGCTCGCGATCCGCGCGCAGATCATTAGCGCGCGCCGTCTAAACACCTTGTGCAAATTTGCTGAGGTTCTTTAACGATTTGTGCAAATCGTGGACAGCGAGCGAAGAGCGGTTCGTGCTTCTTGTTAGCTCATCGCCGCTAACGCGAAGAAGACATTTCTTCTTAAACTTCGCGTGTCCGCGGAGATACGTGCCCGGCCGGCCTAATTACGACGATCCTAATAGCGAGTACTAATTGCGAGTACCAACTCCCGGCGCGTAGAGGTGTCGTCCTAGGCGCGAATTTGGATTTCACGAAAGCCGGGGTCACGGACACCGTAACTCCATTTCAATGTCCGCCGTTATTAAAGCTATGACGGATAAGAATCAAACTTTTCAGAGTATCCTGTTCGCGCAACCTGTTGCTTCGTGCTTCATCTTAAAGCGGTATTTATCTCGGATGTGCGTCTATGAAAATATCGCAGGACACTTTGACAAAATTATGTGATAATAGTCGGATGTCTAAACAATGTAGCATCAAGATCACTCGATTTTTACAAGGATACGCAATGTGTATTCAATGACCTAATTGCACTTGTTGCACCAATCCAATGTGTGAAATATGTCAAGGAAAAACTATTAGATCGTCTATAACGGTGTATACAGGCACGTGTGTGCGAGCGCGTTACAAAAGCAACAGTGGAGGAAATAAATCGCACGCGTAAGACAGTACGATGGCAGACGAGAGGTGTCCATGATTCACAATGTACGTTCCGTCTCTTTTTCCGAGCCGTTGCTCGATTTTAGAGAACGCACGATGTCACCCTCACCCCGGCGCGACTGATCTCGCGCTGTCAAACTGCCAAGGAAGCGATTTTCGACGGCCGATCTATTTATAAACGTCGTTCAGACAAACACGGCTACTACAGAACGCTATTTGGCTACTTGGCTTGCGGATCGATTGTCATCGGCTGAACAATGTAACGATGCTATCGATAGTTAAATTTCGACGCGCAAAGAGGAGCTTTCATTGGCAGAACTGTCGATACACATCTATTTTCCCCTTTCCCTTTTCCGTACGTGCGAGCGGAAATTTATCGCGAACGCTGGCTACCTTCGTTAAAGTAGATAAGTGATTCTAGTTGCAACAATATTCTCATAGATAACGGCGAGATAAGTAAT